CACCCTGACCCCCACCCTGTTCCCCCCCCTGCAGTTCGCCGTCCTGCTCAGCATCATCTTCCTGGTGGAGATCGCCGCTGCCATCGCTGGATACGTCTTTAAGGACAAGGTGGGGATGCGTGGGGAGACGGGGGTGCAGACCCAGCTGGGTGCTGCAGACCCCCGCTCCTTTCTGACCCCCCTGGCCCCCCCAGGTCCGCTCGGTGCTGGACGAAGGGCTGTGGGCCGCCATGCGCAAGTATGGAGAGGACAAACCCTTGACAGAGGCCGTGGATGAGCTCCAGAGTGATGTGAGTAACGGGGCAGCCTTGGGGGTGGGGGGGGACAGGGACATGGGTGTCTGGGGTTCAACCCCCTGAGGTTCCACAACCCCCCCCCCGGCAGTTTGGTTGCTGCGGAGCCAACAACTACACCGACTGGTTCACCATCGAGCGGTTCAGGGTCAACAACACGGTGCCCCGGTCCTGCTGCCGCATCAACACCACCTCCTGCAACATCCACCCCAGCCCCGCTACCATCTACGAGAAGGTGAGACCCCCTGACCCTGTGCCCACCCCCCCTTGCCATGCCCTGGGTGTCCGGCCACCCCCTGAGCCCCTCTGCTCCCCCAGGGCTGCCTCCAGAGCATCGAAGCCTGGATGAAGAAGAACATCCTCATCGTGGCTGCGGTTGCGCTGGGCATCGCCTTCTTCGAGGTAGGACGTGGGGCTGAGACCCACCTTGTGGGGGGCTGTACCCCCCCCACCGTGGGGGGGCCGTGCAGGATGGGGATGACCCCCCTCCCCTCTCCCTTTCCAGATCCTGGGCATCATCTTCGCTTGCTGCCTGATGAAGGGCATCCGCAGCGGCTATGAGGTCATGTAGCCCCTGGCGGGTGCCGCGGCCCCCCGGCTCTTGCTGCCCCCCGCCTGGGGGGCTCTGGTGGTCGTGGGGGCTGCTCCCGCTTGCTTGCCCTCTGCAAGCTCCTCTGGGGCAGGGCCCCATGTGCCAAACCCCTCCAGGGGGTCGCCGCCATTGGACCCTTCCTCATGTGCCGGTGGGGGCTGGGGGGGTCGAGGGAACGACCCCGGATTTGGAAATAAAAATAAAAGCTTCCGTAGAGCCGCGTGTTCCCCTGCGCCCACCGGGCTGGGAGTGGGATGGGGTTCTTCATGGGTGTGGGGGTTCCCCCCGTGGTCCATCGACCCTGTGGGGGTCAATGCTGCCCTGTCCAATGACTGGAACTTCCCCACCAGGAGGGGACTGGTCCCACTGGGAACGATGAGAGCAGGGTCAGGGAGGCTGGATGTGTGGTCTTGGTGTCAGCAGCCCCGTCCCAACCCAGTGCTGGGGGGGCACCGGGGGTCCGGCTTGGCTCGGGGCCACGTCAACAGGACGCTGGGCTGCACCAGGACTGGTGGAAGGGCAGTGACGGTGGCAGTGTCCCTGTGGGTCCCCCGAGGGCCGTGGGCCTGGAAGCCACCCCCCACCCCGGTTGCAGTGGGGCTGGGGTCCCTGTGTGCCACGGCAATGCCACCAATGGTCCCCGAGCCGTGCGGGGACCCCATCCGGACCCGGGGCTACCGCAGGGACAAGCGCTGCAGGCGACGGTTTGCACGGCACCCGGGATGGGCAGTTTATTTGCAGCGCTGGAGGGGGGGGGGGGGGTCTCGCAGCCCTGAGGTGGGGCTGGTGGCTGCAGCAGGGGACTAGCGGACGCGGTGGGCCGGCTTGGGCAGGATGGTGGCCAGGGCGAAGTCGACGAGGCAGGCGGGCAGGTAGGAGGCAGGCAGCCAGAGCAGTTTGGCATCCCAGCCAGCGCTGTAACGGGTGCGTGGGTGCCGGGCGCCCAGCGCGTGCTCCATGCAGCGGGTCACCTTGCTGAGGTCGGCGTCGCAGATGACGTTCATGATGAGCCGCTGCACCTTGAGGTCTGGGGGCGGGAGTGGAGGCGGGGGGGTCAGGCAGGGGAAACTGAGGCAGCAGGTGCCCCCCACTCCCTACTCACACTTGTGGAAGAAATCCTCGCCGTAGCTGAGCCGTGTCTCAGGTGCCAGGCGGTCCCAGAGCTGGCGCAGGGACGCCTCGATGCTCTCCAAGTTGGTCACCGCCGTCTTGAAGAAGCCGGGCTCCACGATGCTGACCTTCACCCCGAAGTGGTACATGTCACGCCTGCGGGATGTACGGCCATCAGGATACGGGGTGGGGGGGCTGCGGGGCGGGTTGGGGGGGGACGGACGACCAGCACCTACCGCAGGCTGTCGGAGAAGGCCTCGATGCAGTATTTGGAGATGCAGTAGCCACCGCCGTTGGCGGAGAGGCGACCCAGCACGCTGGAGGTGTTCACCACCCGGCCCCTCGCCCGTTTCAGCAGGGGCAGGAACTGGAGCGTCACCTCGATGGCCCCGAAGGCGTTGACGGCCATGACCTGGCGGTAGTCCTCCATCCTCATCCACTCCGTGGGGCCGATGGGGTTGGCCACCCCGGCGTTGTTCACCAGCCCAAAGAGACCTGGGGGGAGGACATGGGGACATGACAGGACACGCGAGGTCGGGGATGTTGGCCATGATCCCTGCCCTGTGGCACCTCCCCTGGGACCCCCCACCCTCTCCCCAGTGTGCCCTGGTGGGACCCTCCCCTCCATCCTGCCCTGTAGCACCTTGCAGGGACCCCCCCACCCTATAGCCCCTCTCCTGGGCTCCCACCCGCCCCCTGGCAGGACCCATCTTGCCCTGCAGCCTCTCTCCAGAGCCCCCTCAACCTTCGCCTTAGGATGACCTGGTGGGACCCCCCCCCCATTCTCCCCTGTAAACACCTCATCAGGGACCCTTAATCCTGCCCTGCAGCACCTCTCTGGGGACCCCCAGCTGTGCCCTATACCCCCCCCCCAGATCTCCCTGTCTTGCCCTATAGCATCCTTTGGTGGGTCCCATCCTCTTGCCCTATACCGTCTCTCCTGAGACCACCCCTCCCACTCCTTACCAGCTCCTGGTGGGACCCCATCCCACCCCACAGCACCTCCCCTGGGGTCCCATCCTGCCCCATCGCATCTCCCCTGGGACCCCATCCCACCCCGCAGCACTCCCCCCCGGGGTCCCATCCTGCCCCCCCTACCCCCTGCTCACCTTTCTCGCCCACCTCTGCCCGCACCCACTCGACGGCCTGACGGATGCTGTCGGAGCGGGTGACATCGAGCAGGGTGGTGCGGAGGTGACCGGAGCAGCCCCGCTGGAGGCTGTCGGCCCCTTTCTGGGTCAGGCAGGCGGCCAGCACCCGGTAGCCCCGGTGGGCCAGTCGCCGTGCCAGCAGGTTGCCGAAGCCGCTGTCGCAGCCCGTGATGAAGACATGCTTGTCCTTGACGGAAGGCAGGGTCCGGCGGTCCCGCACCAGCCAGCCCAGCACCCAGGCCAGTGCCGCCAGCAAGAGGTACAGCCACATGGTGGGGGTCTGCAGGGCCCGGGGGAGGGGGGGGGCGGGGTGGGAGCGGAACCCAGGTGTTCTGGGCCATGCCACCCCCCCCGCTCCCCGCCAAGTCAACACCTGCACCCCAAGTTGAACCCAGGCTCCTTGCTCGCCGGGTAAAGCCACGCACCGCTCCCCATGCAGGGAACCCCCAGATCCCCTGCCCCACACCGTGGGGGTCTGACTACACCCCCCCTCAGGTGGAGGGTGGGAAAAGGCAGCGGGGGGTGGGGCGCAGGTTGAGGATTGACCTCAGCTTGCAGCAGGTCCCACATGGGTCTTGGTCTGTGCCCAAGTGCCACGGGGCACCCGGGGACCCCAGGCGGTAGTCCCTGCCCTCCCGGGGTGGGGGGTGAGCACCCTATGCCCCCCACCCACCCCCGGACAAGTCCCTGACCGACCTCCCTCCCGCTGGGCCAGGGCGTCCAGGCGGTGTGCCGGGGATTAGCCGGGCGCAGTGCGTCAGCACCCGGCCGGGAACCAGAGCCCCCAGGGCGGAACCGGGGGGGGGGGCGTCCCAGCTGCTCCCCCCGGCGTAACCCCGTCCCCCTCCTGCCCTCCCAGGGCAGGGACGACCCCAGGCACCCTCCACTCCTGACCTGCACGGGTGACCATCACCGCTGCCTCTGGGACCCCCCAACCCACCTGCCCCATATCCCACCCACCCCTCCCTATAAGGAAGCCCTGTGGGGGGGCTGTGTACCCCTCCAGGAGCCCTGTTTGGGGGGGGTCTTTGGGGGTGTCAGGATCCCCCCCCATTGCACCCAGCAGTGGGTACTGGCTGGGGGTTAAAAACCCCCTGAGGCTGCGATGGGGGGGTCCAGGCTGACCCCCAGAGGGGGTGGCAGCCCCCCCTCCCCAACCTTCCCCACCCTCAGGGGCTGTGGGGGGAGACTCGGTGTCTGCCCTGGGTCCCCGGAGCCGGGTGAGGGCGGGGGGCAGGCAGCAGCCCCCTGCCCAGCCTGGATGGCATGGGGGTCTCGGCGTGCACGAGACCCGATAGACTCGTCTCACTGTACCCCCACGGCCATGGGGCAGACCCAAAGACCCCCAAAACGGGGCTCTTGGAGGGGACACAGCCCTGGCCTGGGGGGCAGAGGGGACCCCACCCACCGAGCCCCCACCTACCGTCAGCGGGGCAGAGGGCTCCGGCCACTGCTCTGGCTGTGGTGGCAGAAGCCGTCTGAGCTGGGGAGGCCGCGGCCGCTCCTCCCCGTGCGCCAGGGCCAAGCCCGCAGCCAAAGTTCACAGTGGGCTGAGCCCCCCCGACACCCCCCCTCCGCCGCTGGGTGCAGCACCGGGGGAACTTGGGTGCGTGGGGGTACTGGGATACCCCTCGCCTTGTTGGGGGACCCTCACCACAAAGGAGCCCCTGACCAGAGCCAGGAGGGCGGGCAACCCCCAGGGCACGCAGAACTCCCCCCACCCAGGTCCCCTTCCCAGCCCTGGGAGGGGGCATCGCCCAGAGCTGGGGGGGGGGGCCAAGCTCTCCCCTGGGGGATTAGAGCCCTCCTGGCCCAGAAGGAGCCCTTTGTCTGGGGAAAAAAAGGAGCCTCAGAGCCCGAGTTAAGCGGTAAAGAGGATGAGGGGGCTTAGGATGGGGCGGCCGAGGGCTGTGCCAGGGCCCCGGCACGCGCCTGGCCTGGCCTCCGCACACCGCCTGTACAACCACGCTTTATTCTGCCCACTCTCTGGTACGGAGGGTTCCCCAAGGCAGCCGGGAGCTGCTGTGGCATTGCGGCCGGGGCCCACGTTATCTGCCACGACCAGCCACGGTGGTGGCAGGAGGGGGTCGGGTGGCTGGGGGGGCTGGTGGTGGCAGCGGCGGCTCAGGAGCAGGAGGGCTGGAGCTGCCCCTTGTAGACATACTCCAGGGCGGTGGCGATGGTCCGCATGTCCATCTCGATGCTGCGAGCCCAGTTTTCCACGTCGCCGATCTCCTGCCGGAATGGAGGGGGGGGACTGTCAGGGATCTGCTGGTGGGATCGGGGGCGGCGGGGGTCCGCCCTGCCTTGCTTCCCTCCGGCAGCCGCAGCCCTGTGGGGGCTCAGGGCTGGCTGGGACCCTGCGGGTGCTGCCCGTCCTGGTGCAATCTGACAGCGGGCAGATGGTGCTGCCAGACTGGTCCGGCGTCGAGCAGTGGGGCCAGGGGATGCAGCTGGGGGGACACGGCTCACCCACCCACCGGCACTGGGCAGTGCCGGCGGTGGTCTCCTGGTGCATGTGGGGTGGAAGACTCCATCCCTTGGCCACCACCGGTGACGGTTCCCATGGGGCTGTTTCTCCACATTTCCCAGAGGGAAATCTCCCCCTCCCCATGCCAAGCCAGGGATGGGGGGGGCAACCCTGGAGTCAGGGGGCAGGGACAGGGACCCCCACCTTGAGGGCCTGGTTGAAGTTCTCCACCATGGTGATCCACTGCCCAGTCTGCTTGGCGAACTGGGCCGCCTGCACCTGCAGCGTCTTCACCTCATGGTCCAGCTTCCGCTGGTTGACGTATGCCTGTGCCACCCTGCCGGGGGGGGGACACA